ACGGCTGAAAGGGCGAGCATGTTTGGTGGGACGGGGATTCGAATCCGCGACCCTCAGATTGTGAGTCGAGCACCTTATCCACCTGGCCATGCCGGGCCTAACGAAGGAAAAAAATGATTTGGTAAAAGTACACGTTGTAAACATCGCTATACAAAAACACATGTATTTTAACATAGTAGGTTAACTGGGTGTACACTATCCTTTAAACGGTGAGGTAAAAAGTAATAGAATGAATGACATCAACGATTCAAATCTTCACATATACTTTATATTATTATACGATAATTTTTGAAAGAATTTTAAAAATAAATCAAAATTTTGAAACACGCAAAATCTCGGTGGTTTACTACATTAAAAACGTAAAACACATTAAAGAAAGAAACAGACCGATATAAGTTGTCATCTTGTGGCGTTTTTCATGTTTCTAGGTTTAATTTCTTGTCTCCGCCTTTTTCAGTGAAGTTTTACCTGTTATAACGAAGCAGTTAGTCTACCGATGAAAGGTATTTGTAAATTTGAAAGGTTTTTTTTAAACCACGTGAACAAGATTGATGAAAAGAGAGAGAGAGAGAACGTTTCTTACGTCATCTTAAAAAGGGTCACATATAGCTCCTTTTCCTGACAAGACTTTCCTCGACCTAACACACCACTATCAGAGGGCCATCAACGCCCCTGTCGTATTAAACAATAAAATTTGAGGCGTTTACCATCTATGTCTACCTTGTTTGTCAGTGTTTAACATGAAACAGTATTCAGGATTCAAAAAGCCGTGTTGTATCGTGACAGCACTGCCACAGAATGTTAAAACGCCGATACGTTGAAATGAACTATAGACCTACATTTTTGGTTCCTCGTAGCTATATCATTGCATATGCAGTTGCCAATGTTTAAGCTTAAACGTATTAGTAGCAATCGTAATCAAACAAGTTGAACTTTATTCTTAATTTATGTAACTACTGCATATGGATTATTGTTAATGTCAGATTAACTATATGTATTAAAATTTGATATCTGCTACTAGAGAATTATTATTATAATTCTTATCAAATGATGGTCATTAATCACTAGAAATATGTTGTGTACCATACGTCAACTGATTTATTTTTAAACCATGTTCGGGGGTTCTAAGCAGAAATCATGTTTGAAATAATTGACTTCATTTGGATTGACACAATCTACAATATCGAACATCTAGTTTTAGATACAGTATAATATACAAGAGTGACTACCTATATTCAACCTCAACACAAATAGATAGTTATACCTTATGGCTAGAGCCCATACCAGTAAATATAGACAAACAGATAGATCGAGGGTTCCCACGATAGTAGAATCGTACAACCAATTACAGATGGTCATTTTTCTTTAAATTGAGACAGCCTATGAAAATTATTAAAGCCCAACACAGAAAGATAATAAATAAGTTAAGGAATTGAATAATATTAATCAATACAGTCAATCAAACAAATGCATAGTAATTTATATAGACATATATAACAAAAGCAATCGTTGAAGAATGATCTCATTTTGATTTCAGATAACAAACGATATTGAACGTGAGTCAATTGCCTAATAAACTGAGAAGTAAACATTTGAAATATTCAAAACCAAATATTTCACATAGGATTTTACTTTTTACCGATTCTGTTTTAACACAGAAAAACATTTAACATGATTAAAACAAAAGTTAGGTACTAAACCTGATGGTGCCTAAACAATTTGTACTTTGAGATTTTTAAATACATCCCTGTTTGACCATTTTCATCTAGAAAAATAACGATTTCAACGAGAGTTTTTTTTCTTCTTAACGAGTAACAACATCCTAGCAAATTGTGTGCCTACTTTATTCTACGCGATATTCTAGTCACATTTATAGCTCTTTGATAACATACAATTGGTTGTTTTGATATGTACACATACGTAAAATAATAACGTATGTTAAGCAATCTCAGTGGTTTACGCTTGAGGCATTACCTCATGGACGACGTTCTGACACATATTGGTGAATCTTCATTAGGTTAGAATTTTTTAACATTGGATGCATTTGGTTGGTTAGAGTGCTCAGACAGAATTAAATATGACGAATAGTAATAAGTTTTCTGAAAGGACAAAAAGTATTAGAAAAATTAAATAAAGTGGACCAAGATTAGTAATTAAATGCCAAAGAAGACATGGAAAACAATGTAGTCTGGATATAGTAAAAAAAAATTATGAGAAGATCAAACAAAAATTGGAGTCTATATTAGCCCAACAGTACTATTGAAAGTTCACAATGATATTTATTAGGTTAACCACTTGGAGGCAGAATTAGTTCTCCATGCAGGAGAAAATGATTATCAGTGAACTTTGCATGGAGAGATTAGAGATGAAGATTTTAGGCAAACATTTGCGAATTAATTCATTTGGGGAGAAACAAATATCAGTTTAGCTATAGCAGGCAAAAAAGTAGTCTCTTGCTTGTCTGGTAAAGAGATGAACCGGCAAGATTTTGAGGATACGGGACATTGAAATTACTTGTGTTGAAAAGGCGTAAAGGGTACAAATCTTTGAAGAAACTCTAGGGTGTTTCTGTTGTGAGTCCACAATGCGCCATAACATCGTTTCTCACCTTATGCTATCAAACAGACTCTTGCCAACAGTAAATTACGAATCAAACTGAATTATTCAAAACATCAGTATGCCTAATTATTAAAATATTTTCCACTCACCTTTCTACAACATATATAAAAAGATAAACATGAATATCAATAAAATATGGAAGTTTTCATTGGGTTAAAGTCTACATGAAAGTAAAGAAACTGGAAATTATCAATACAGTCTACTTTATTTCCAATTTTTATGCAAACGGAACTAAAGTTATACGGTTAATTAAGCTTTATATCAAAGTTTTACTAACAGAAACAAATTGGAAGAAACATCAACTTTTATACTTGTTAAAACCGGTTTTGATTGCACTACACACAACTGTTGCAGTAACTTGCAGCTCTACCTAGTTAAGGTAGGAAGCAAATGTATTTAATGCCACCCTACACAAAAGGTTGAGATATTCAAATTGACAATAATGGCTTACCTTCTCAAAACTCCTCCTAATAGCGAGGCATTGAGGCACTCTGGTGGGGATAACCGGCGTTGGACCTCCCCTACAGTCACTTTGTACTTTGATGTGGAACTGAGCAGGGACAAGCGGCCAGGCACGGAGCAGAACACATCAGTGGGTGAAGTGACACCTGTAATGACCATTTCCCTGCAGTTGTCACTGTGTCTTGGTTTGATGCCTGTTAGAAGGAGAGACGGAGGGAACACGGGGTACGTCAACCGACCTGAGTGAATCCCCCAATATGTCAGAGGGAGAGACGGAAAGAAAGTTCCAAGTCACCGAATATTAGAGAAACAAAACACCAGTACCAGAAGAGAGTAAAAGGCAGAGACGGAAAAGTACAAATGCAACAATTAGGGTCAATGATATCACAATAACTTTTGAAAAAGTATTAACGGTTGTCTGTAAAATCTCTTTCTTTGTAATCTAGATAAGAACATAAGGTACAAAGTTCAATATATTTTCCAAGCCCTTTCTACATAGGGAAAATTTTGCTTTCAGAAAATTTCTTTTTAATCAAATTTGTCTTGTAAAAATATTTTGAATGTCATCTCAGAATAGAATATATATTGTACAAAATTCAGTTTGTTACTACTGGCTTAAAATTATACTTTTGTCGTATATAATTTATTGGTCATTTTTATTTCTTTGTATTAGATCACAGCAACAACTTCAGGTGACTATAACTTTAATAAAGAGTGACAATTTCATACTAATATCTCCAAAACGGTTTAATTGGGATAAGCAAAACTGCTAACCTATTATGTTTTACATAGCCCCATGTAGTCAGTTTTAGCACATTATTATAATCACGCACTGTAATAATTGCAATCTCGAAATTTCTAGTTTCCCTCTATAATCGTTATAAAATATACAACCAAGAAACACGTCTTGAAGGGTGTTCTCTTAAAAAAACAACAACAAAAGGTTTAGGGTACATGAAATCCTTTTTACCACAACATAATATAATGATATTGCTTTTGTATTCTTGCAAAAATAAAGTTTATGAAACCATAGTGACAGAAAAGTTAAACATTTCAACGTACCTTTTCTTATAACACTGTTATGTTCTCCAAATATATTGTTAGCATCTTCAACTCCTGTGGCCTGCGAAAAAAAAAATCCAACTAAAAATCTGGAAAAAACATGAAATTCTTAACAAATAAAAGTTTCCTTAAATTATATACCTTTAATTACTGTCAGAATATTTTGTTAAATATCTTAAAAACGTCAATATTGTGACCAAACGAAGAAAGATTTGTTATGCATAAATTTCAAGTAGATTTTTTTTAACCCAAGCTAGATCAATGATTATATATGTAGTCATGTATTTTCAAGACAGTTATCTTTTCCCAGATTTCATGTTTGGTAGAAAATTTTAATTTTAAATAAAGTTCAAAGGTTGTTCTGTTGAAAGATATAAAAAAATCTGTTATAAAAGGTTTTTTTTAACCAGTACCTAAAGTTTTAAAATGGTGAGTCACCAAAAGATTCCAAAAAGTTCGAAGGGTTTCAACTGTTCTTAAATACCTAAAATATACGACCTGGGACTTGTTTTGGTAATTTTTATACTCGGCATATATTTAGGAGTCAGATTTAAATATTGATATTAAAGAAGTATAGTAATTGTCCAGGAAGCTTTTTATGACAGACTACCTATATAGTCATTAGTCAAATAAGGGTTGAAATTATTTGCTGGAATGATAATTCGGTCGTTACATTGTGTAGCAGTACATGGGGGTAGAACCCATTGGCCAAGTACTGGGTTCGTGGCGAGGGTCGAGTAACTGTTCCACAACCAGCCATGATAAAGTACTACAATGGTGGAACGGGAGGGGTTGATCTGGTAGATCGCGTCTTATTATAATTACGCCCGCACTTTAAAGGAAAAAAGTGGTTCTGGCCTCTGATGGTATATGCTTCAAACATTGGTTTCGCATATTACTGGCGCATATTCCAGATTTCAGCTGCACAAGCTAGTCAGAAGGATTTTCGGAAAACGCTTGTTGGCAAAGCAGTCATCACCAAGACCTCCACCTTGGTCCGTCTTATGAAGTCGCCACTGAAGATCGAACAGATAACAGCGGTCACTATCCAGTTCAAGGAAGTGTCAGACGTTCTATAAGAAAGTGTCGTGTGCAGTGTATTATGTGCGAGAAATATCTCCATATCAACATGTGCTTCCAGATGTTTCAAGAAAAGTAGAGACATGTATAGCTTAAAGGACAAAAATGAGAACTGTTGATAACATTGATCAGTGGGATTTATTATTTTTATAACTATATTTTCTTTCAGTATTACAATATGAGAAGTTGCGCATTAAATTTACTTGTTTTATCTTTACTTTATACAAGAATTTGACAAATGACTACATATGTAGTCATTTCTAGACACCAAGGAAAGGCTTAAGTTATGAAAGTGAAAAGCTAATCAGGGCTAAAAAACACGAAAGTGAACCAAATTTGAAAGTACTTGGATTTGCAAAACATGATGTGTTCTAATAGGTTAAACAGTTGAAGTTTTTTTCATAGCCCAAAACTACACAATGGGCTACTTGCGCTATGTCCACCTCGCGGAATTGAACCACGGAAGACTTATAAAATACCATAAACTACCAAGTGTTTTTATAAAAAAAAATTAAATTAGAACCTAGAAAATAGAAAACAAAAACCTATGATAAAGACACTAACTATTAATATTTCAACCAGTATACTGTCACATCAAACACTTTTTTTTGCCGGATGTAATAGAGAGAGCGTAACTAAGATGCTTTTCACCGTGCGATGAGTTTTTTATTATTATTATTTAACCTTGTGTTTTCAAGCTTTTTCAGTTAGAACGTAGGCCTAGCTGAAATAAGTTTAACCTAGTCTCGAACTGAAGTTGGGTTCTCGAAAAACTTGTGAGCTAATAAATCTTACTATAATGGACGTAGCGTGCATGTATGTATCTATGTATATGGGCAAAATAATAAATACAATAAGGCGCTATCTATTGAATGGCACCACAAACAAAATTACATAAAAAAATTCACACTTTGAATATTCAAGATTCAGACAGAAAAATAACTAAAAAATGTGCAACAACTATTTCTTTATTACAGAAAACAACTTGAAATAAAAGTACTCTCCTCACAAGAAGAACAAGAAGAAGAGCATGTCTTTGTATTTTTAGTCCCGAATCTTATGATCTTTAATTAGAAAGCATTCACAAAATTTATGAGTATAGTTAGAGCAGATTTCGTTTTTAAAATTTAAAACAGAAAATGATATACAGAAGTGAGAAGACAAATTAGCGTTTGATATAAAACAAGTAATGTGCTTCAATTTTTAAAATCTATATGAACATTCAAATGCCGCCGCTAAGATTAAATTACTTTATTTAATAATAACCACGGGTTGCGTTCTTAATCAGCCAAAGTAAGATTATCAGTTACCAAGGATAGTGTTCCTAGTTGCGAAAAGTTTCAAGTGACAAGAAGTAATGTTCCTAAAAACTGCAGGTAAAATGCTTACTCAATAAATGTAGTTCCAACAATCACGTGTAGTTTAAAGGGGTCACAGGAAGAGTTTTCAATGGTCACAAGTAGGGTTTTACTGATTAAAGGTAGAGTATGCAGCAAAATTACTTATCGTTCGAATGCACCTCGTCTTTTGTTTAAGCCTTTAAGAAAATTTCCTTAAATATTATTTGACCAAAAGTAGCGGACAAGTAGATTATTTCTTATAGACAAATTAATAACATTTTGGTGAGATTAAATGTGACGTTAGAGTAAAAGTAATTGGCTTTCGTTATAAAAGTCATAAAGAGCTATTTCATAAATGTCTATATATTTGAAACAAAAAACTGATAGTGAAACGTGCTTTGCACTTTAGGAGCGTGGTTGTGCACTAAAAGTGACGGTTATTTTGTTTCTTTTACCGCAAAGATACAAATGGGCTATCTACAATCTGTTCACGCTGGGTTCGAACTCTTGATCCTATCGCTGTAAAGCCGTAAACTTACAGCTGACCTATCGAGGGACATGTGATTGTGAAATCCCACTATTCGATCACAAAAATCCAACTGTTGGTGGTGAGTGCAATTGTCTAGTTACCTTCTCTCTAGCTTATTAGTTCAAAATTATGAACGATTAGCCTTTTGTGTAGCTTTGCACAAAAACTCTCAAACAAACAAAATCAAAAGAACAGAATTTTATACACATAGAGTTGTATTCTTCTGTAGCGAATTTTAACATCGGTCGTAATTTGTTCAGTTAATGACAAGGAGTAAAATTATGTGAGCTTAACTGTCCGGACAAAACACTATAACACGAGTGTGATAGATTAGGAATGCCACAACTTACACAGTTTTTAAAAAAAGGAAAATAAAAAGTAAATCGGAAAAGCAGAAATAATTAATTCGATGAGCTAACTAAGTAGCTTTTATTTTGGCTTCATTATCGCAGCAACTTCTAGTTTTTCGAGAAAGTACCCTGCTGTTTTTGTATCCAAATCTTCCAACTGATACTGTAGTGAAAAGAATCGTGCGTCACTCTTGTCTCCCAATAGATAGTTCTATTCTTCGTGTGCTCGCAATAATGTAAAGGAGATGCGCAAATTTTGTTTGGATTTCAAGTTATGTTAATACAGTTCCCTGTATTTTTCAGGAAATGGTATAAGAGTCAGCCTTCAGTACAAATGACAAATTCAGTTTTACATGCCGTCGCGAAAAATCTTCATGGGTAATTAAATTATACGGTGAATAGATAATATTTAACATTTTTCACATCAGCATTAATCTTTAAGGAAAATTCATCACTACATACACTAACCGATTAAAGAGTAATTTAAAAAAATTCCTATCTTTAGAAACGTTATATCAGAAGGGGATACGTGGGTATGTTACAGTTGGATTACTCGGTTATGAAATAAGTATAAAGTTATATAGAATTACGAGGTTAAAAACCTTTCCTAAAACAGAATAACAATCGAATTAATAAAATATGAAAATCCAGCCCATGTTTCATATGATACGTATAGATCACAACAAGAAATTCCATCTCTACTTTTTTTATTATACATCTGAAGCGAGGCCTAAGATTGTTACAGGACAAGAAATAATTTAGGGTAAATTATTATAAATTATTAAATGATAAAATAATTACTTGAATATTATGAATTCATATTTTAGTCATTAATTTCGGCACAATTATTGTTTGGTATAGTTTCTTAATCGTGCCTTTTTTTAGTAGATTAAATTATTGTTTCAGCTAGTCGTTTTCGCAGCCTCACCTACATATGTAAGTACGAGCTAACTTCCTGGTAAAAGTATTACAGAAACTTAAATATGTTTGTATCTTGATTTTAAACGGAGTTTTGGTTACTATTTCATATTCTCTGAAGAGTAATGGGCTTACAGAGACATTACAATTGTAGGTTAAGTATTAAACAAAGTGAATGTTTTTTTCTTTCCTCCCCTAGATATCACTGGCTAACGAGCGTATCCCGCCAAAGTCTATGATATAACAAGTATTCTAAGTCTAATCAGTAATGGAATTTTTGTTTCTGTCAAAAATAAAAAGCGGAATAGCTTCAAGTCACTAATACAGCGAGGCCATTTTCCAAAAGTTTCTTACTAATATAAACTGTGCTAATGATACAGGTTTATGAAGTGTTCGTTAGTTAATCATAAACGCCAAACACTTGTATGAAAGATTTTTTCATTAACATTGTATAACTATTATCTGTTGAGAGTAAGCTTTATTAGTTATATCTTCCTACCTTTAGTCTGCCTAATATGCTTCGTTGTGAGTCAGTAAGTATTACAGGACAGCTCTCAACGTTCTCTTAATATTGCTATTTTTATTCTGTATTGAAACAGTGTGAGCTATAAAGGAAACATAGAAACGCATTGGTTCGCTATTCGCTATATCGATTGCCTACGACGCGTTTCGCTCAATTCAGAGTTCATCAAGCCGGCTGATACACAACAAACACAGTATGGCTGGAATATTATTATTATTATTCACTTTTATAATTCTTGAAAATCCCTAAGGGACTAGATAAAGAATGTTGTGATAAAAAAATATAATAGGGCTAATACTAATGTTTTATGACAAGACATAA